GCCCCGGGCGGCTCCTCACCTTCCAGGCTGCGCGCGTTGCCGGTGCGCTGGCTCCTGGGCTGGGATTGCAATGCGAAGGCTCGTTCCGCCGTGCACAAGGCTGTGTCTGAAGGCTTAGGGAAAAAACCCTGAAGGCGGCTGAGTGCTGTATGCGTGTGCCAGGCGGTATTGCTGTGCAAGTGAAAAAATTTCCCCCGTGAGTCAACCCGAGTGACGTCCTGTAAAGTCTGGCTTACGCCAAAGGGTGCAAAGTGATCACAACGGTATCTACAGTGAGAGCAGCTAAAAATGACCCTGCAGCTTCAGTTGTCTTTCAGGGACGGCATTCTGTTACTGCTGCTTCAGCCCTCCTTGAGATTTTTTGCTTACTTGTGTTCTTCATGTTACTGTTAAACAATACTAGGTTGTTCAGATACATTGATGAAACTTGTATTTTTTTCTGGAAAAAAACATAAGTGTTATTTACTTATTTTTCTTTCCCTTGCTAGGGTGAGACCACAGATTTTGAGTTGTTGAAGCATCAGCTGTCAGATCCAGACATAAAGGTAAGAGCCTTGGTAGTCAGGGGCCTGACGATTTAAAGTTCAGCTGTCTGAGTGTAATTATCAGACAAGTCATTCTGGTGCTTACCCAAATCCTTTGCTTTAAATATTTAGCTGCATTTAACAGCTTTTTGCTTTGTGGAAACTACTGGGATTAAAACTCAAAATGAAAAAAAAAAAAGCAATTGTCTCTTTCTATGTATATGTGTCTTATATGCAGAAACTTGATAAATGATACCTCATGCTCATAGGCTTTTTGCTCTAGAGTGAGGAACTTTTTGCTTTATCATGGGGTCTTTCTTTGTTCCAGATAAGCATCAGTGACATAGAAAGGCAGTGTCTTTACTTCTGTAGATCAAACTATGGTTTCTGACTTTTGCAGCCTTTAAGTTGCATGAATTTTTACCTTCTCCTGTGCTCACTTAAAAACTTGTTTAATCAAGTAGTAAGATACATATGCATGTAGTAGCTACACCCAGAAGTATTGTTTCACAGCTCTTCTGTATAGCTGTGACTACCCACCACATTTGCTGTCTTTCTTTTTCCTTTTTGTTTTTCTTTTTTTCCTTTTAATTAAGCCACAAAGCTGTGAGAAGAATGCTGCAGGAAGCATGCTGTATTGAGTTCCTTTTCTCTCTAAAGAGGACATTTTGTTAAATACTTTGTTTTTAGCAGGCCTTTTGGAGGGTACAGGCAAAATCAGTGTAAAATTTTCTATGTAGGTTTGCTACTGTTTCAGTATCTCTCTTATTTCAAGACTTGAATGTTCCTTCTGCTTAAACTAGAGCAAAAAGAAAAGAAAATTAAGATTGAATGCCATTTCTTTTAAATATGTTCTATGTGAGTGAGGTTTGCATGCCTTGCTCAGTCTGTAGCTTAAGCCTTCCAGGCAGGCTGTTGGTTTAGGAGTTGGTTTGCATTTATTCTTGCATTCAGGAACTTCCATTGGTGAGGACACATACTTAAAGAAATTCCTTGCCTGTTGATGTGAAAATAATTATCTGTCTTTGACTTTTTATTTTAAGGTTTTAGTTATTTTCTGGTAATAGGTAATACTGTTTATTGGAGTAGTTACCTATTTTTTTTTCTGCTTATTTTAAGGATGCCCAGATCCTTAATTGGCTGCATGAATTTCGAGCTTCTGTTGCATATTTGACCAAAGAGCTTGAGCAACTGGTCAGCATTTTGCTGGTAAGTACCCGTTTTTTATATGGGAAGATTAAGAGTTTAGTACTCGCAAGATTTTTCTTTGACACCTGGGTCTTTGTTTACTTTCAGAAGCTGCCATGGTTGAGAAGAAGCCGGGAGGTAGTGGAAGAGTATCTGGGGTTTCTTGGCAATCTAGTGTCAGCACAAACTGTCCATCTTAGGCCATGCCTCCGGATGATTGTATCACAGTTTGTCCCCCGTAAGTTACTTTTCTCTTAATCTTCTTTGTTTGCATATCAAAATGTCTTTCCTAGATAAATTCTGTATAAATATAATGCATGACACAATTAATTATTGGGTTGGGTTTTCTTGCAGTTGATTACTTTCTTACCTTGAATGGTTGAATTGTGACACAGATAGTTTTCTGTACCTAGATTTTAGAAGGCATATTCTAGTGGCTAATACAGACCCCATTTATGAAGATGTCTTGGAAAGGGATGAACCATATAATGTTGTTATTACTAAAACTGGAAAGCTGCAGTGAGGATTATGTCAAGAACCTCCTGGTTCTGTGAATGAAACAGGTTTTTTTGATGAGCTTCTGCTTATTTTAGAAAGTCTTCTGGGTAATTTTGATGCTTTAGTTCTGATGAAGACTGTCGTCCAGTGTGTTTGATTTGGCATTGAAACCGTTACCTGTAAGGTTTGTACAGTTTTGATATAATAATCTCACTTTTTGCTAGCTCGAATAACCATCAGAGAAGATGATGTGGATATTTCAGATTCTGATGATGATGATGAAAGTGAGTATAAAGGAAGCATGGCTTATATATGCTGCTGTAATACCTTTACTAAAGAAGTATACAGTGCATGTTGCTCCTTTTTTACAAAATTAATTTAGCTGGGTTAATGTCAAATATTAAGAAACAGTACATCCTTAAATTCCCAAGTCAAACACTTTCTTGTACTCAAATCAGTGGTGTGGTGACCTGTTCCTTGTTACTTTCGAAATACTCCTGTTGGTACAGTATCTTTAGGAATAAGGCTGAATGCATAGGAAAACATTCCTTGTCTTAGATTGTTTCAAAGCCAAATAAAAGGTAGGAGTTGTTTGTTTTACATTTTATTTACCTCAGTAAAACTAGGTAGTTTGGGGGATTCTTGAGTCTTTTTTTGTTGTCTGCCTGTGATAAGTTCAAATACACTTGATACTTTTAACAAACATGCCGCATAAATTAGTGTGGTTATTGATAAGGCAAACAGGTAGCTAAATGTATTTCGAGAACTTCCTGGTTTTTTATCTTGAATGCTGGAATAAATTTCAGTTCTGATTGTGATGACCCCGCTACTCTTTCGCTGTTCACTTGTGACACTGTTTGGATAAAAAAAAGCTTGTTATGGAAGCCTAATTATCTATTTGTTTTACTCTTGTGAAAATGAGGCATAATGTTCAGATAGATTTTATTTAGTTACAGACTTGGATTTAACATATATTCTAAATACTTGTGTATTGTGGGATAAATTTTGGATTCCAAGTTTAGTGTTCAGTATGAGAGCACGTAACAACAATACCTGGCCTTGGGGCTGGCAGTGCATTTAAGGTTTATTGATTGTGATGCCATGAATTTTATCTGGAATTATTTTTCATGCTTATTTTGGTAGTAAGGCAGTTCAACTTTAAAAAACAACCAAACGCCTAGCATTTTGGCAAATGCAGTTTCCTTGGGAATCTTTAAAACAATTAGTTGATACAAACTGGTTTTGCTGGATCCTGATTTAGTTTTCTGTAACCAAATGCATGAGAGTACTTTTTTCTTTCTCTAGACCTTTCTGAAAACTTTAATACATGCCATAGAGCATTGCAAACCGTTGCAAGATACGTTCCTTCGTAAGTATATAATCCTGTGGTTTTTGTGTGCCCTTTCCTTGCAGATTTAAAGCTTGTGAACTGATGAATTGGGGTTTTTTTTCTTCTTTTAATTGGAAGTATAGTACTTGGTTTCATTGCATGATTTTTCCTCATATTCACTAATTGGTGGAATGCTGTATCCAGTCATTATGAAACTTCCATAGACATCAGCAGCTGAAAATCCAGATAATGGAAATAGGAAGCAGGGAAAGTCATGTTTATAGCACCGTATTTGAAGTGGCTTCTAACAAGTCCACAGTGAAAGTTTGCCACTTCTTAACTGTTCTGTGATCCTTTTTTACAATTACTTACCTTAAAATAAAGTTACTGTGAAATAAGCTTATTCTAGTCTGTCTTTAGAGTGCTGGAGCTTCAATATTTGCTCTCGTATTAACCTGTAACTTTTGGTTGGTTTGTTTCGGGGATTTTTTTTGTTTGTTTAAATTGTAGGACACCACAGTTTCTCATGCCGATACTTGTGGAAAACTTTCCTTTCATTAATAAATCGGAAAGGACTCTGGTAAGAGCTTGAATATTTTTGTTTATTTGTTCACTTGTTTTTTAATGTATAAGTATAATCTATAGTATGACAACTGATTTGGTAGTGTTGAATGCGGATTTTTGTTTAAGATGTTTGTGTGGGTTTTTTTTTAATATATATATATATAGGTGTGTCTTTTTAGTATAAGGTTGTCTAAGCATACTTAAGTTCCTTGTGCATAAGCATTATGCTAGTCTTTAATGACATAACTGCATATCTTTTCCACAGGATTGCTTTCTTAATCAATGCACAAGATGGACCTCTTTGACGATGAATCTCAGGGTTGTATAGTAAGGAGACGGTAGGATACCTGTCTCATTTGTTGTCAAAAATGGAAAGTATTTATCAGAAGAACAGGGGATTTGATAAGCAGAGAGAAAGCAATGGATGATATAGATGAAATCCAAGTTGCCAGTAGTGTAGGGTGTTAAGTTGTTTTATTACATCTTTGGTATAGTGGTGAAAAACAAGCTGGAAACTTTTGATGGGTTACAGCTCTTGTGTGATCTTTGTATTTGCTTGTTCCAACTTGATATGTTGGCACTTTATTTTACAGAAAGGCAAGAGTCCTGCTCCACCAGCCGAGTTCAGTTGGAGCTGTGTTTCAAACTTATAAGTGCTGAAGAACCCCCGAAGTTCTTTGTATACCTTGCTAGTTTGGGTTTTTTGTTTGGTTGGTTGTGTTTTTTTTAAATCCAAATAATGTTGGGCACCAGTTCCCTATCTGTAAAATGAGGGGGATAATAGCTCGTACATGGTGTTAGAGAAGAATTTTTATTTGTTTGTTTATTTAGCAGCTCAGTGAGGAGCAAGTTGTGAAGAAATTCATAACTGTGTTTTCAGGGCAAGGTTTGAGTGAAGTGTAATAAAAATATGGTCCATGCATTGTTTTTAAATATTTCCAATTTATACATTCTCATTAAACTATCCATTTAATGTACTGAGTGAGCCAAATGGCCTGTGGAAAAATCATATGTGCTCATGTAATTAAAGGTTATTATAATGCATATTCACAAAGAGACTATGGTGCACTTAAATGTGGCACTTTACCTAAATTTATGTATTGACTTGACAGTTTTGCTATATGAAAGTTGCAATGTTGTGTTTTGTACATACGTGTGTATACATGGGTGGGCACATGTGCACTTGTCTGTTAACCTGTTTGAATTACAATCAGAACGACTCTGAGGAGACTTACCTGTGGAATTTAGAATTGTTGTCACTATATTATAATAACCGGAAATGAAGATGTATTTAGTCTCACTTTAAACAGTTCTGCTGGATCTGGTTCTAGATGTAGTGAGGAATATGCTTGTTGTTTTTAATTTTCCTAGAGAAAGTTTAGACATAAACTCCTATGGAAATGAATAACTCTTCTTATAGAATATTTATACTCATTCTGTCTACAGATAATTGGATAAATTTGCATGGAAATAGTAGATTAAGAAGTTAATAATAACACAGCTTAGCAATTGAAAGTTGATGTTAGGCTTACACATTAACTTATTCTAGATTGAATACAGTCTGTTTAAACCTGTTTCTGGCTCTTTAGATAACAAATTAAGAAGCTTGTTTTCTAAAAATCCTTGGCAGAAATGAGACTTTCTGTTAACATTATTATAGATATCAATTAATTTTGTATTATAGGAATGTTATGTTCATAACCTGCTACGAGTTACAGTGTACCTTCCAACTCTGAGGCTTCAAATTCTGGAGCTTATTATTGAAAAGCTGTTAAAGTTGGACGTAAGTTTGCTCTACATCATCTTTTAAGGAAGCTTGGTGTTAAAATACACAAAGTGAGAAATTAAATATGCTTCGGTATTAAGTGCAACAAAAAATATGTTGCAGTAGCGTTCACGATCATGAGTATAAAACCAACCAAATTTGCACTCCATTCCCAGTCTCAAGATGTTCTCACACCTGCGGGTAACTATGATGTATACTGTTATACCCTGCATGGAATCTCCATGGCAGAATCAAAATAACTGTTTCATGGTGATCAGTGCTGATGTGCAGAGAACTTGCTTCTCTTTGTTTGGTTGATTTGTTTTATCATCCCTTTGAAGTAAAAGGATTTACAGTCTTAAAGACAGGAGGAGTACCATTGTAAATGATCAAGGCTTTTTATTTTGGAGAACCTCAGCACGTAACAGTCTGGGGAAAGCTTACATTCTGGAGGTAAAGTTTCAGGCAGTTTGGAGTGCGTGTTTGTGTAATACATACGTATCATTCCCTTTTAAAATGTTTATTTAGTCGAGGACAAAATCTAGCTTAGAAATTGTCATTTCTTCATAAATAATAAAGGTTTCATATTATTGTCATGGTCTTATAAAAGTTAATTCTTGTTTGCCACTGTAGGTTAGTACTCCACAGCAAGATATTGAAGACGCTGAAGAAACTGCTAATAACTCTGATAGTGAGGAAAAATCTACAGAGGAGGGACTTTTTGACATGGTTGGCTATCTTGTTCTACTAAAAGTTTTTTGTTTGGTTGTTTTTTCTTTTTAGTAAAATTCTCACTTTTGAGGTGGCTCTGAGCTAAGTGTAGGAATACATTATTGTTTTGTCATTACTGCGCTGCACACAGCTCTTGAAACCTGGACAGCTGACAAATGATTAACGTGTTCTCTGGTTATTGACTTTATTCATGTAAATACCCAGCATACATGCAGTGAATCAATTTAATTATGTAAAAACACAAGCAGGTATACATAAAGCTAATCAAAGAATTCATGGTAGTTGGCTTAGTTTACAAAAATTTGCTTACACTAAGCTATGTAATTAGATACTGCTTTTTCAAAAAAAAAAAAAAAAAACAAAACTTTAGCAACTGGAATAGAAATTTAGTTTCACTTTTCCTGTAACTGCTGTCTTTATGATGTTGTGTATATGAAAGCTGCATGACTGCCATTTTATCTGCCAGGAGGAAGATGAAGAAAGAAAAGGAAACAAAGTTGTCTCTTCCAGTAGTGAGAGAATGGCCCATCCACTTGCAGAGCGCCTTGATATTTTGATGACCATCCTGTTTTCCTATATTAAAGATGTTTGCCACGTGAATGGTAAGAACACTGAAACTATAATCAAATTTGTTGTTTTGCTAACAAGTAAGAAAAACATAAGAGGAGTTTTTGCTTTCTGCTGCTGGTGCAAGATAAAGCCCTCACCCTTTAGTGGCAGAATTCTGCCATCAGCAGGCTGTTGGCCACATTCCTGCCTTTGCCCGGTGTATTCCGCAGAGGATGCGAAGGTACACTTGTGACTTCAAAGGTCTAGCCTTCAGTTGGAGACATTTTGCTTAGGTAAGTATGATGCTGTATCCAAACTGTGGCATTACAGTGTGTAAGGGTAAATAGAGTTTTGTTTTTGAATTGTGCTGCAAAACTTAGGGGATGAGAAATACCTTCTGATTAACCATGGTGTTTTATCATTTGCTCTACTGTATGGCTTTGAGTATTAGAATTATGGATCCTTTCAACCTCACAAGGACTGGAAGTAGATTAAAACAACCAGCCACGTCACTCAATTGGAATTGCTACAGCAAAGCTTTGTGTTACAGGAAAAAAACCTGAAAGAAGTGTCTTACCCTGGCATTTATTAAGGGTTTGAATTTCTTAGATTTTATGTATTTAAAACAGTATATTTAGAAACCATTTTGCTGTATCTTCTTCACATAAGTCAGGTAACTTATTTCTTAGTGTTTTCTTCTGGCTCTTCTGAATTAACACATTATTGTAAAGTTGCACGTCTACCAGTTTTATACATGTATATGTGCATACACACAGAAATTCTCTATATACACCAATGTAAAAAGCAGTAGAACCGAAGATCTGGAAGGTCTTACTGTAAATATTTTTTAGATGTCAGATAAGCCTAGAAGCCAGCTTGACAGCGTTTCTTTACGTATTTCTTACTGGATTAGAAAGAGATTAATGCCACTTTTGCAGCATGAGGGCAGGAAAAAACCCTGAAATGCCTCATTTTGTTCTGTTTTCTTGTTTTGTTGTGTAGGCAAGCTTGATATCAACAACACAAAGGATTTGTATCGGGATCTGGTTTCTGTTTTTGACAAGCTCATTTTACCAACCCATGCTTCATGTCATGTACAGTATTTCATGTTCTACATCTGTAGCTTTAAATTGGTGAGTAGAAGCTGGTTTTAAAATGCAGTGTCTTCTGTCATTTCTGCATCCTTGTTTTGGCTTTTTTTCACAAAAAATAGTTGTCTTCTGCTGTAATTCTAGTCTGAAGGTAGTACAAGGATTCATTAGTATTTTTCCTTTCTTTTCCTTCTCTGTTATTCCTTTCTTCAAGTTTTTCTTTGTGGTTGCTCTTCCCATGTTGTTCATAAACTGCAAACAGATGGAATCAAAGCTAGTGTGAAGGAATTTGGTTAACTCTTTTACAAGAATTGGTTGGACTCTTGAACCTGAGACACAATGCTCCAGCAAGTTTCTTCAGCATCCCAAAACTGTCTTAAAGATACTGTGTTAGCTCTTCAATTTGAAATTTGTGTCTCCTGTTTGTTCCTCCCCCCATTTTCCCATCTCTCTCAAGCAAACTACTGTTCTTTCTCATACCATATAGAAATAAGAACAGGCATACTTTTTGCATAAGAGTAGCTAAAGATCCAGTTAAGCTAATGCCCTGTCTCTGACAGTGGTGAATAGTGGATGTGTTGGAAAGAATATCAGAATGGGGCAAGCATGTTACGAGGGTAGGATGGCCCTGCAGAGGGACCTGGACAGGCTGG